TCGGCACATCTCAATATTTCCATCAACACAAGACCTGTTATAGAAATGGTAGAGATCGGACCATTCCTTCCGCTACATTCCCCACAAAGTGTCAAAGATTTGAATAATCAAAACGATTATAAAATCCGAAATAAGCATCCGGTTCTCCTTATATTTCAGACATCCCATTATTTTAATTAACACTAGATATGTTGTGAAGATTTAGAATAAGTTTAGATTTGTGCGAATTGATCAACTTTTGCACGAATTATGGCCTTTAAACGGCCAATGAAAACATGTCACACGCTGCCCGAATGTTGCTCTTCGGTATTTTGGCCCATTCCCGGCGAAGCGCTTGCTTGAGGTGATCGACACCTTGGTACTTTTTAGTGTCAACATTGCTTTCCAAAATACTCCAGACACAATACTCCAACGGTATTGGTATCCGGAGATTTTGGTGGCTCTTATGCGCTGGAAATGAAGCAAGGAACCTCATTTTGTAACCATTTTTGGGTGCTGAGTCCTGTTGGAATGTCCAAGTTCTGCGGCCAAAATGTTTGCGTGCCCAAGGCATTAATACACCCTCCAGAATATTTTCGCGATAATATTCGGCATTTATTCAGAGCGGACAGCGACAATCGGTTGTTATGGTGGCCCACATCATCATGATGGCCGGCGCTTGAGTTCTGGTAGCCAACCGAAGGTGCACATTTTCAGCTGACCTCTTTGGCAAGAAAACACGATCATTTTGTTTGTCTACAAACTGCTGGACAATGAATGTTTTCTCATTGAAGAAAACCAAATTCGGCAGTTCACCATTTTCGACCAAGCGAAGCAACTCGTTAGCTCTTTTGAGTCTATTTTCTTTCTGTTGTGGTGTAAGTTCTTGCACTGTTTGGAATTTCAATGGTTTGACCCCCAACTTATTTTTCAATATTTGCCGAATGGAAAATTGCGATATGTTCAGCTCACGAGCCATTTTTCGGCCACTGCGACGCGGGTTTCGATCAAGTCGCTTCTTTACTTTTCGAAGCATTTCCGCCGATATTGCTGTTTTCTTCCGTCCACTTCCTTGACGTCGGGTTACCCTACCAGCTTCACGTTAACGAGCGATGGTACGAGACACAAAAGTTTTATTAACATTTAAATGCTGGAGTGCTCCGACTATAGCCACTTGTGGTTTTCCAGCCAAATACAAAGAATCACAGCATCACGCTTGAATTCCATCACGAATAACTTTTTTTCTGGAAAATTCACATCAAAATGCTTTTGAGCGCTTGTAAACAAGCTGTTACTGGAATAGTTATTATATTTTATAATTTTAACAGCTGTCGGACGAGTGGCTTAGAAATTACAGCAGTCTGAAGTTGGTTGCAGTTTTTTCACCTCACCCTGTATATCTGCGAACCCCATCTGATACCTCACCCACAAAGGGTAACAATTTTCAATTATTTTATTTGTCATAACTTGGTCAGCGAATCTTTACAAGTTGCTATAATAAAAAAAATATCTCTTAACCAAAAACCTGAGATAAATATGGTATTTATGATTACGCATAAAATTGGATGCAAATGTTCGTTTTTCTAATTTTGCCCATATCCATTTTTTTTGTCTGTATTAGATGAAGCATGAAAATAGAATACTTTGGTCGACTATATCCGGTTATCTCACGCACATTTTAACATTTTCTAAAAATTGTCACATATCTCATGTAAAGTGAAGGAAATAGTCGACAAGCATGACACATCGCAATTTTTATATCATATCATATTTTTAGGTCCGACTATAATGGCCGAATGGACAATATTGAACCATTCCTTCGGAACCTACTCCCTATAGGTTTGAATAACCATGACAGCAGTCAAAATATATTTAAATAATCGTATATTGGCTGAGGGTATACATCTGTCAGCAAAAGCGACTGATACTATTTTACTTGTTTTTCTTTGAATTTAATTTTATAAAATTTGATTGATAAATTGTATTTATTGCTAATTAAGTTGACGCTTCTATTGATTTCAACAAATCGCCAGCACTTGCAGTCACCTTCGTATAATTACACCATATAGATTAGAAATGCATATTGACTAGATATTTAATGTGTATGTTAAAGACAACAATAAATTTGCATTCATGTATTTTAAAGAAGATGACTACATTTCTGTGCAGTTCTAGTTTATCTTGATAATCGATAAGAGGAGTTATAAATACAAAAATATTGAAAAAATCCCCCCTTATTTCCTAGTAAAGGCACATAAAAGTAAAAAAAACTTTTTGCCACAACTGTCGCTTGCAATTTCAAGGCATACTTTTATATGGCCCCCAGAACTTTAGAATCTAAAAAAAGAAATGCTTCAGAGAACAGTAAAAATTAATATAAATATACTAAAGTTATAGAATAAACAAGTAAAATAGTATCAGTTGGCTTTGCCGACAGATGTATACCCCCCAACCTTGAGTTATGATTATTGAAAATATTGACTCTTAATGGGGGAGGAGGTTCCGAAGTAGTTGGCAAATATTGATCAATTCGTTGCTGACCTAAGACTGATATAAATGTTACAACATGTCATATTTGGACTATATCGACTACTTCCTGTACTCTATATGAGATATGTGAACATTTTTGGTAAATGTGGAAGAAGAAGTATACATTTTCATACTTCTTCTAATACAGATAAACATTTTTTGTAAGTGCAAAATTTGAAGGAAATATCGAACATTTATATCCAATTTTATGCGAAATCATAAATTCAGATAAATTACATATCCATAGCGAATTTCTGGTTAAGAGAAATATTTAGCTATAGCATGTTGTAATGGATCGCCGACTTTTTTTTTGCAAGTTATGACTGACATAAGTTTTGGAAAATTTGACCCTTTGTGGCTGAGGTTCGCAAATGTTTGTTTGTGCGAAATTTGAGGAGATAGATGCATGGATTTGGATGCTTATTTCGCTTTCTTTGGGCGAAACCTATGTGGGGGAGGTACCAGAAGGAATGGTCCGAACTTTACCATCTTTATGACAGATCTTGTGTTGATGAATATATTGAGATGTGCCAAGCCTGAATGGAATCGGATGTTAATTTCGCATTTTATGAGCTTCATGAATATTCAAAATTTTGACCCGTTGTAGGCGAGGTACCTGAAGGAGTGGACCGATGCATCCCAATTTTACACCAGACCTTGGGTTAATAAAAATATTGTGATGTGTGCAATTTGAAGAAAACCGTATGCTTATTTCGGATTTTAGGAACGTTATGGCTATTTAAAACGTTGACCCTTTGTGGGGAGGTACCAGAGGAGATGGTCCGATCTCTACCATTTTTTCAAAAGTTCCTGCGTTTATTGAGATGTACCAAGTCTGAATGGAATCGGATGTCAATTTCGCATTTTATGAGCTTCATGAATATTCAAAATTTTGACACTTTGCGGGGTAGGTGCCACAAGGAGTGGACCGATATATTTCATCTTCACACCAGATCTTGGGTTAGTAAAAATATTGTGATATGTGTAATTTGAAGACAATCAGACACTTACATTACATTTTATAAGAGTTATAATTATTCAAAATGTTGACCCTTTGACCCCATTTTCGCATCTGACCTAGCACTGATGCAAATATTGGGATCCGCAAAGTTGGAGCAAATTCCGATTATCCTTTCTCTTTTTGTTTGTAAAAAAGTTACCAGAAGCATTTGACCGATATTGTCCATCTCCGAACTTGGTCTAAGATTGACAATAATATTACTATATACCAAGTTTGGATCAAATCGGATACTCCCTTCGAGACTTATCGTGCGCACCAGTCTGACAGACGAATGGACAACGCCAGATCGACCCCAAATGTCCTGAAACGGATTTGGTCCAAAGAGACCTAGGGTCTAAAACCGTTATTTCTGTGAGGCTCATTTGGCAGTATCAAGTGATATAGACAGGGCGAGATGAAAAAACTGCAACCAACTTTAGAATGCTGTTATTTCTAAGCCACTCGTCCGACAGCTGTTAAAATTATTCCAGTGACAGCTCATTATATTGTTTACAAGCTTACAAAAGCATTTTGTTGAGAATTTTCCAGAAAAAAAGTTATTCGAGATGGAATGCAAGCGTTATTTCTTTATATTTGGCTTTAAAACCACAAGTGGCTATCATTGGAGCTCTTTAGCATTTAAATGTTAATAAATCTTTTGTGTCTCGTACCATCGCTCGTTACCGTGATACTGGTAGCGTAGCCCGACGTCAAGGAAGTGGACAGAAGAAAACAGCAACATCCGCATAAATGGTTCGAAAGCTAAAAAATGGCTCGTGAGCTGAAAATATTCCAATATTCCATTCGGCAAACAGTCGGGGTAAAGCCATTGAAATTGCAAAAAGTGCAAGAACTTACACCGCACACAAATATTTTGGCCGCAGACCTTGGTCATTCCAACAGGACTCAGCACCATCGCACTCAGCACGCGCCACCCAAGAATGGTTACAAAATGAGGTTCCTTGCTTAATTTCCAGCGCACAAGAGCCACCAAAATCTCCGGATACCAATCCGTTGGATTATTGTGTCTGGAGTATTTTGGAAAGCAAAGTTGACACTAAAAGATATCAAAGTGTCGATCACTTCAAACAAGCGCTTCGCCGGGATTGGGCGAAAATACCGTAGAGCAACATTCGGGCAGCGTGTGACGGTTTCATTGGCCGTTTGAAGACCATAATTCGTGCCAAAGGTGACCAAATCGAACAAATCTAAACTTATTCTAAAATTTGATGTTGTTTCCGATATTTTTTGCTCTCATTCAATTAATTAAAAGAAAAAATGTTAAAATTTTAGCGTTTGACTTTGTTGCAGTTTTTTTATCTCACCCTGTATACTCTCCCTAGCCATATGACTGAATATAAAAATCCCAGAGACTGAAAAACGTATTAATCCAAAACATTTCATACCCTTAGAAAAAATATTTGAACCGATCTCAAAACACATAAAAGCGTTAATTTGTTTCCTCCTTTTTTTTTTTCTTCTTCGCATATAGGAAGTTATGGTGATAATTTAAAGGTTACTCTGCCCAATGAATTCGATTTGGTATTCCATATACGTTTTCCCGAAAGTAAACTAATCGATGTTATTGAAGACTATGACATACCGGGAAATGTTCATCTGAGTTTTACTCGAGTCATGGCCAAGATACGAAAAGAGAAACAACACGAGATTACCTATAACTGTCTACTGAAATGGTTAGATGCCAATGACCGTTTAATTGTGGATAGATTACAATCGTATTTTCAGAGTTGTTTCGCAAAAGTCCTTGAAGATTTAAACTGGGAGGCCAGGTTGCACAACGAATACACCAGACTACGTTATCACAGAGAAGGTCCGGCGCACACAATTAAAGTAATTGGCAAAAATATGCAATACTCCGTGGACTTTGTGCCCGGTATACTGTTAGACCAGTTTCAAAGTATAACACCCACGCACGTTGGCCAATGGGAAGCCATACCAAAACCCATCAAATCGGCAAGACGTGATTACACTTCATTTAGAACCTCTTATTATAGCGCCGAAAAAGCTATGTTACAAAATTGTAACAACTTGAAGAATTGCCTGCGCATGATGAAAAAATTCCGCGATGCCCATCAGAATATGAGCAACATGAAAAGTTACTTCATCAAAACATTATTTCTGTTGAAGGTACATGAACAGGGTGGCAATAAGTTGTATTGGAATAAGCCATTGTCCACAATAATACTGGATGTAGGTTTGAGACTGGTGTTTATATATTGATACCCATAAGTATATGTATATTTACTTGCAGATGTTCAAGTCAATGGAGGTTAGCCTCAAGACTAAAAAACTACCATTCTTTTGGGATCAACGCCTCAATATGTACGATCAGCTGACAAATTCCAATTTGAGTGAAATGTTAGGTTGTGTAGTCAGTTGCCGGATGACATTGGAAAAAGCCCAACAGGGATTAACGCCAGCGATTCAAAGACGAGTCTATGAAATATTTTGTAAGTATGAAGAGAAGAGAGTATACAATCTGATTAAAAGTTGTTTAGTTTAAAAAGAGCTTGAAATAGACTCAAAAGAGCTAAAGAGTTGCGTCGCTTGAACGAAAGTTGTGAACTGCCGAATTTGGTTAGCTCCGATGAGAAAACATTCGTTGTCCAGCAGTTTGTAGACAAACAAAATGATCGTGTTTACTTGCCAAAGAGGTCAGCTGAAAATGTGCACCTTCGGTTGGTGATGGTGTTGGCCGCCATAACAGCCGATGGTCGCTCTTCGCTCGTATGAATTGACCTTGGCATCGGAATAAGTGCCTAATCTTATCCCGAAAATATTTTGGAGGGTGTATTAAAGCCTTGGGCACGCAAACATTTTAGCCGCAGACATTGGACATTCCAACAGGACTCAGCACGCGCCACCCAAGAATGGTTACAAAAAATACCAAAGTGTCGACCACCTCAAGCAAGCGCTTCGCCGGAAATGGGCCAAAAAACTGCAGAGCAACATTCGGGCAGCGTGTGACGGTTTCATTGGCCGTTTGCCAACGGTGATCAATGGCACCAATCGTGCGAAGGGTGACCAATTCGAACAAATCTAAACTTATTCTAAATCTTGATGCTATTTCCGGCATTTTTTGCTTTCATTCAATAAAATTAAAGAAAAAAAAACAAGTAAAAAAGCAGTAAGTTCATCCGGGCCGATCTTTGAATATCCTCCATCATTTGGAACGATTTTGACAATTTTCAAAAAAATAAAATGAGTTAAAAATTCTGTTAAAATCCTAAAAATACCGAATGTAGCCGTCATATTAGGGCGTCTAAACGACGATGTAGACCTGCATAGGCAACTTTTGTCTTAAACCATTACAATATGCAAATGCGAAACTTGAATAAAAAAATTCTGTGAATAATGTAAAAATAATGCTTAAATCATCAAAATTCCGAATATATGTAGGTACCGTTATATTGGGGCAATTTTCTGTCATAGGCTGTAGCATCCGTTACGAGCTTCAAGGGGCTATACCAACACGTGGCATGGGGGCTATACCAACACGTGGACCTACATGGCCCATTTTCAATACCAAAAGTCCTGCAGACATAATATACATTTGAGTAAAATTTTATCCTTTACGAGCTTCAAGTACCAAATTTCACAAACATTTCCGGTGAATAATGTCGCTAAAATCATCAAAATACCGAATATCGGGAGGTATCGTTATATGGGGGCTATACCAACACGTGGACCTACATGGCCCATTTTCAATACCAAAAGTCCTGCAGACATAATATACATTTGAGTAAAATTTTATGAACCTACTTCATTTCGTTCGGAAGCTAGAGTGATTTTCACAGACGGACAGACGGATAGACGGACGGACATCGCCAAATCGACATAGAATTTTATGCTGATCAAGAATATATATATTTTGTTGGGGTATAAAATGTATATTTCGAGGTTTTACAAACGAAGTGACAAACTTAATATACCCTCCATACTATGGTGGAGGGTATAAAAAAATTTAAAAATTATCGCGTTTGACTTTGTTGCAGTTTTTTTCATCTCACCCTGTAGGTGGTAACTCACGCACATTTTAACATTTTCTAAAAATTATCACATATCTGATATAAAGTGAAGGAAGAAAACATATTTATTTAGGTCCAATGCGAAATGGACAATATTGGCCCAATCCTTCGGAATCTACTTCATTTGAATAATCATAACAGAACACTGTCCAGACTGATACTTTTTAACTTGTTAATGTAGAAAAAAAGTACAACATTTATAATGCAAAAAAAGGAAAAAAAAATGGGAATAGCCCAATATATAATCTTAATATATTTAAATATATAAAATTTAGATAAATAGTTAACTTACAGATCATCACAGACATCACGGAATAAATGAAACATTATTAATTGTCTAATAAATCTCATAACCCATTCTTATTTTACAGTGGTACAAAATGAAAGACGGCCGACAGTGCAACCCGAGATGTTTGAAACTAACGGTGACTCAAACGAATATAGTCCCATTGTTGAACAACCCAGAAAATCCGATCCATATTGTAATATTTTATAAATTTCTGCTATGTTCAGATGACTCAATGAGCCAAACGTACTAGTTGTTTGAGAAAACAAAATGAAATGAACATCCAGAATAAGACGTAAGCGACGGATCAAATGAAACATTATTAATTGACTAACTGACAACTTATGCACATGTTATAGAACAAATCATAAAAATCCGATCCAAGTTGTAATATTTTATAAATGTTTCAGTATTGCAAAAATTTCAATATTTTTACTACGATAATTGATTTGATTTCAAAAAAATATATATATTAAAAACAAGTATATTCTTGCAGTTTTTGGAATAGAGCATTCATTGAAGTTTAGTATTTAAAGGGAAATTTAAGGGAAAAAAATCTAAAATTTGGCCAACTGTAGTAACTTACCGAAACATAAATTAATAACATGGTCTTTCCCAGAACTGTAAGAATGAAAAACTTTTTACTACCATTTACGATATTGGAAAAAATTAAAAAAATAGTAAATTCTTGCAAATTCTGAAATAGAGCAATTATTTTACAAAATTGCATTCTGATTTGTGGCCTATATTTAACTTTAAGTTGACATTTGCATTTATCAAATTGAGCCCAACTATTTCTAATAAATACAAAAAAAAAAAAAAAAAACAAATCTTATCTATATTTGTTTTTGTTTTATGCATGTGACATATTAAAACCAGTAAAGAAAGTCTTAATGTCGAACGGGCCGCCTTTATAATACCCTACTCCACTTGGAATATTTAGTAGACCTTTACATAACAAATAAAGTTTTTATGGGGAATTTGTGAGAATTAATTCGTATTAATTTTAATTTAAAGTCCAAAGGAACTAAAATATGAGAGGAATATCCTCCTCAGAATCGATTTCTACTAAATTTGCCGAGGCATTTGTGCCTCTTCATTTCGTTTTACCCATTTTGTACACAATAAACTAGAAATCGAATAAAGATATCCATGGGAGTTACATCCGAATCCGAACCGATCTCGATAAAAGTTGGCAAAGGTATTTCTCAGCTGTATTCGATATATTTCCCCAAATATCTTTGTTACGCAGTGCATATTACGGCTGCGGAGGACAAAAATTACAAATCGGATGAACAATGTATATGAGAGCCATAGAAATTTCGAAGCGATTTTCACCAAATTTGACATACATGTTTTAGGCTCAATTTTGTCATAAATGGCAAATGCCCTTCCATTTGGGATGATATTACACGTTTGGTGCACAATAAAAGGAAAATCGGATGAAGATATATATGGGAGCTATGTCCGATCTAGATAAAATTTGGCAAAAGAATTTCTGAGCTGTATTTAATATATTTCCCCAAATATCTTTGTTACACAGTGCATATTACGGCTGCGGTGGACAAAAATAACAAATCGGATGAACAATATATATGGGAGCTATATCTGAACCGATTTCGATCAAATTTGGAATTCTTATTTTCAGGCCTTATTTGGTCGTATGTGCCAAATTCCATACCATTTGGGCTGATGTTACACGTTTGGTACAAAATAAAAGAAGATATATATAGGAGCTTTGTTTACAAAAATACATGGACAGACGGACACGCATAAATCGGCTCAGAATGTGATTCTATACAGATCATCAAAATCAACTATGGGTTTATCTCGTTTCCCTTTCTTTCCAAACAAATGCACAAATACCTAATATCCTGACCAACTTTTTGTGTAGGGTATAATTATAATATATATTCCAGAACATGAACAAATACAGCTGTTTTTTATCCTCCACCATAAGAAAACGATTTTTTTTTCAAAAACATTTTTTTCGATGCAATAACAGAGAAACTTTTAACAACTTTTTATTGATGTAGGTGGAAATTCGGGCATATACCTCTACAATACCGAAATGCCATGAGATACTATTGTATGGGGGCAATACCAAGAAATGGACCTATATTTCAAAAAATGAAGGACCCGGGACCCCGATTTTTGACCCAAAAAAAATCGAATAGTTTGTACTAAACTAGAGTTGTTTCCCGCAATTAGGTAATGCAAGTAAAACGGATGTCGGAGCACAACGTAATAGAACTTCCATCTGAAATCTTCCACATGTTTTATTTAAAAGTTTACCTGCACTTATTTTAGTTTTTATCCATTGGAATACAGCTGTTCGGAAGTTTTCACATTGACATTTCCTTTTAAATATTTATTCCTTAATTCAGTTCTCTTTTACGTTTAAGACTTCAATCTGCTTAGATCCTCCATTGGGCTCGTACCACAATCATGACGCAGGGTAAAAAAAATATTATTTTAAATGGCCGGTTAAAGCTGAAAACCACAATTTATTATAAATATTCAAAACGCTCGCAATAAAACAAAAATTCACATTTTTAACATAACACAAAAAAAAAACGTAAAAAATACCGTTTAGAAAGTGATGCCAAGTTTACACACAATTTAAGTAATCGGTAATCGATTAAGCTATAACATTGCAAATTTCATGGTCACACAATCCATTACTATTGCTCTGTTCCAGTATCTGCAAGAATCCAGGGAAGGGAAAATCGGATATCATAGTAAAAAATTTTACATTATTGCAGTTCTGGAACAAACTGAATGTTGTTCACCAAAAAATGTTTCAATAAAATGCATAAATTAATTTTGCAACTTTTTTAAATTCAATTTAATGGTACAATTATTGGAAGGCAGCAGCAATCCCCATCGGATTTGACTCTATTGCAATATTAGTATTTAATTCGATATGACATTGTGGAAAATTGTTCCCTATCAATAGAAGGTGCTGCAAAAGTAATCCTCCTATCAGGAAATGCTATAAATTTTACGATTAGCCGCTAATGTCTGTAATTAAAACATTGGGGGCCAATCGTATAATTTATAGCATTTCCTAACAGGAGGATTACTTTTGCGCAACCTTGTACAAGAAAACGTTGAAATGACACAATCACTGAAGGTAGAATCGTATATTTTTTACGTAACGGGTAATAAAATGTACAATTTTTGGATAAAAGAATTTTGTCCTACAACTTTATGGATAAACTCTAATATTCCATTCAAGTTTACTTGGTTTTCCCATTAAAGTAATTTTGTGTAATATACACCTAAGTCTGTTTTTACACGGTAGATTGGTTCCAGAAGAAGCCGTGTAAAAAATACATTGATCTTATACAAAAAATATACTTCGCAAAAATTAAAATTGACAAAAAAATTTAAGTACATAAAATTTCAAATCGTGCTAAATAGAATAATATCGTGTAAAAAAATTAAAAATATTCAATTTTCAAACCGTGTTATATCAAAAACGTGTACAAAAAGACCGTGTAAAAACAGACTTAGGTGTAATATACATCCTCAATACATACCGATAAATGAAAAAATATGGCCGGTTCCTACATTTTTCCGATTATATTGTCGGACATAATAATCGTTTTACGTTATAAAAAAATTCATTTTAATATGAACTGTCCGATAAGCAAAAGGTCAGACCCTCTTCCCTTTATCTTTTAACGTAAAGTATAGTTAAATCCTGGGCCTCAATTCTTGTTCTATGAAAATGTGAAATGAAAACTGTTGTAAAGGAAAGAAATGTCAAATGAAAAATTTTATAAAGGGAATATTTTTCATTTCATATTTTCATAGAACAAGAATCCAGTCCCTGTTGCCATAATTTATATTGATAATATGACAATTGAAGAACTGAATTAAAGATTTACTTCACGAAATTATGGCAAAAAGCTTGCCATATCTCTGTAAAAAAAAATCATATATTTTAACGGAAAAATGTAATAATGACTTTACTTTTCCACAAAAGTGGACTATAAAGGAAAGATATAAGAACGGTCCTATATACAATTATTTTAATTTACTTTCAGTGTTGCGCGTTTAGGCCAGATTTTGGCTGCAACAAGAATGCGAATTGGAATTTTCCGCAAAAAAAAAAAAAAAAAACAGCCCACTGGTATGTGTCTGGAGGAGCATACGTTGGATATAGTTGGCGAGATCTTAAACCCACAACATATTATATATATATATATATATATATATATATATATATATTATATAAATATAACTTACTTCTATTTTGTCAGCAAAGACACATAAAGAAAATTATCCAAGCCGAAGACGATAACACAAATCAATACTTTGGTATTGGATGTAAATAAATGTTCCACTTCCATTATTTTATTTCTACTGACGAGGCATGGTCAAATTAAAAAGGTAAAGTCATTTCCAATAAGTCATCTCTGCATTTTCTGTAATATACCTTGTCAAATCTCACTGCATAGAAACAGGTTGCCATCTCTGATATGTGTGGATTTTTCTCTGTTAATTTGTTTTTTTTTTTTTGCTTTACATGTACCTGCATATCCTTACAAATTATTCAGCGTTGCATTTCCGCTCCAATTAAATTCGTAGCAGACCACATTGCATACCCGATTTTCTTCCTATTTGCCGACAGCATCTTAAATCCAGTGAAATTTCTTCGGCGTATACCCAATAGGATTGACAATCAAAATTCCTTGGATTTATTATATCATAAATGAATTTGATTTATTTTGTATATAGAGTCATTACTGTATTCAAATGAGAAACTTAAAAAATCGGTGAAAAACGTTGCAAACATCATCAAAATACCGAATATAGGGAGGTACCGTTATATGGGGGCTATACGATGACGTGGACCTGCACGGACAATTTTCTGTCATAGACTGTAGTATCCACTACGAATATCAAATACCAAATTTGAAACAATTCCGATTAATATTGTCGCAAAAATCATCAAAATACCGAATATCGGGAGTTACCATTTTATGAGGACTATACAAAGACGTGGACCTGCACAGACAATTTTCTGTGTTAGGCTTTAGTATCCATTACGAACTTCAAATACCAAATTTGATAATGTCGTTAAAGTCCTCAAAATACCAAATATCGGGAGGTACCGTTATATGGGGGCTATACGAAGATGTGTATCTGCGAACTTTAAATACCATATTTGAAACAATTCAGATGAATAATGTCGCTAAAATCATCAAAATAGCGAATATCTGAAGGTACCGTTATATGGGGCTATACGAAGACGTGGACCTGCACAGACAATTTTCTGTCTTAGGCTGTAGTATCCACTACGATCATCAAATACCAAATTTGAAACAATTCCGATGAATATTGTTGCAAAAATCATCCAAATACCGAATATCGGGAGGTACCGTTACATGGGGGCTATACTAACAAGTGGACCCATGGTACAATGATATCAAGGTAGGGCTATGATACCATATGATTTTAATTTTTTTATTTTCTTGTCTTAATATGTCATCTTTATTTGTTTATGTATGTGTTTTCTTTTCAATAACAAACAAATTGTTCAGAAAATATTCAAATTCGGGTGTTTTCCAAATGTTTATTTCAACGTATGCATCGACAAAATCTAGAGTTTTTGTAGCGAAATAATCCTTTAGAGATATATAGTACATGATTTTGAAAAGAAGTGTTGACCTTTCATTCAGTTTTCACGGTTTTTAATTATTTATTCAAAATAAATGCAACAAGTTGTTTGGTTTTTTATTGTTTTGATACTAATTCTGACATTACAAGCCAAACAGGTAGACCTCTATACTTGAAATTTTTTCAAAGTTGGCCTACCTTCTCTTCATTGTACCATGAGTGGACCTACATGGTCCATTTTCAATACCAAAAGTCCTGCAGACATAATATACATTAGAGTAAAATGTTATCAACCTACTTCATTTCGTTCGGAAGCCAGAGTAATTCCACAGGCGGACATAGGGATGGACATCGCTGGACTTTATACTGATCAAGAATATATATACTTTGTCTAAAATGTATATTTGGAGGTGATAGAAACGGAATGACAAACTTAATATACCCTCCATACCATGATACAATGATATAAAGGTAGGGCTATGATACCATATGATTTCAATTTTTTTATTTTCTTGGCCTAAAATGTCATCTATATTTGTTTATGTATGTGTTTTCTTTTCAATAACAAAAAAATTGTTCAGAAAACGTTCAAAATCGTGTGTTTTCAAAATGTTTATTTCAACGTATGCATCGACAAAATCTAGAGTTTTTGTAGCGAAATAATCCTTTAGAGATATATAGTACATGATTTTGAAAAGAAGTGTTGACCTTTCATTCAGTTATCGCGTTTTTCAATTATTTATTCAAAATAAATGCAACAAGTTGTTTGATTTTTTATTGTTTTGATACTAATTCTGACATTACAAGCCAAACAGGTAGACCTCTATACTTGCAATTTTTTCAAAGTTGACCTACCTTCTCTTCATTGTACCATGCTCCATACTATGATGGAGGGTATAAAAATGTGCAATATCAAACATAGATAAATGAAGATATAGACAACGAAAAGTTAGTTTTGTCTTTTTATCCTGGTGGCTCTCATCATGTTTTGCATAGTCAGCATGCTAATTTACACGTTCAACCCACTCGACTTCGAAAACACATTTTATCGTTTTTCAAGAATTTCACTTGATTATTCCCAAATTTTTCGATGTCATCACATAATTTTCACATTTCTTTTATTATGGAACAATTTTTAACTGACAAATATCCTACAGTTTTTGTAATTTTTATCATTTTAGAATTGAGTGACTTCAATATTCCCACTCCCCCATAATGGACCCTTTTTTGACTTTTTGGGGGTTTTATAAAAAATCCGGGTCCAAAAAATCGATAATTTGACTATAACTTCCGAACCGTAACATCTTATCCCATCATGTGACCACTTGTTGGATAGGTATTTTTTGAGTTTAAGCTTTCCAACGATACCCATATTGTCTATATCGGGTAAGTGGATCCGGGTCTAGTCGGGGTCTTGAACCCGGACTTTCGGGTCAAAAATCTGGGGTCCCAGGTCCGTCCCCCAAGAAAAAAATAGTTTCCCGGGATCATGGTTAAAATACCTACCACTGAAAAAATTTTCGAAAAAATTGAAGAGTTTTTACTAAACTAGAGTTAAGCCTAAATTTTTGTCTAGGGATATGGGCACGTGGGATATGTGGGGTACATGTGGATATGTACCCAAAACAGACGTCCTCCTCAAACCCATTATTACATTACGAAAATGCGGATAAGTCATGCAGGTCCCTATACAAATTAACCCTCTTTTTTCCTTATATTAATAGTATTTAGCTAAAACCCCTAAAGGGGCCATTGGGAACCCTAGGCTTTTGAAAGGGGCCTCAATGTTTGCATTTAAAGTTAAACCCATAAAGGTGGTCATAAAGGTAAATAAATTAAAAATACAAGAATACCTTGTAGGAACGAATAACATTTGCAACATTCGCTTCGCTAACGCATCCTAATACGCTAATACGTGTTAACACAGCCATAATATATTTAAGGGATTAACAATATTAACTAACAATAACAATTAATATATATTAACAATTAATATAATTAATATATATTAACAATTAATATATATTAACAATATAATTATATTAACCAACAAAATTTACAATGTATATATAGTATATCATATATAATATTATATCATCACCTTGTTATCCTTGCGCTTGCTTTCCTCTCATTAGGTTTTGACACAGTAGACGTCAAAAGGATAAGTGGGGAAGAGAAAACAGGTGATAATACCGATAATAATAATACGTATAGTAATTTTGATATAGATTTAGATGTAAAAGATTTAAAAAACGTAGACAAGCTAGAAATAGATAGCAATGACTCACTAAAGGAAGAAAATCGTCGTTTTCATGGTACAATGAAGAGAAGGTAGGTCAACTTTGAAAAAATTGCAAGTATAGAGGTCTACCTGTTTGGCTTGTAATGTCAGAATTGCTATCAAAACAATAAAAAAGCAAACAACTTGTTGCATTGATTTTGAATAAATAATTTAAAACCGCGAAAACTGAATGAAAAGTCAAAATTTATTTTCAAAATCATGTCCTATATATCTCTTATGGTTTATTTCGCGACAAAAACTGTAGATTTTGTCGATGCATACGTCGCAATAAGCATTTTGAAAACACCCGAATTTGAATATTTTCTGAACATTTTTTTATTATTGAAAAGAAGACACACACATAAGCAAATGAAGTTGACATATTAAGCCAGGAAAATAAAAAAAATTAAAATCATATGGTAGTTCTGCCCTACCTTGAATTCATTGTACCATGGTTGTAGGTATTGTGTATTGTAGTAGTTGTTGTTGTTCTTGTCATTTTTTAAAGTTATTTATATTGTAGTTTCTTTTTTTTTTTTTTTTCATTTTTTTAATATATTTTTTTTTTAGTTGTAGATGGGGGTCAAAGGGAAAGTGATGCGAATACAATAAGTTTGTACATAAAGCCTCTCCTTTCCAAACTGTCAACCTCGCCCACCCATGGTGGCCCCTGTTAGCGCAGAAGAGGCACTGATCCCAAAATTCCCAGTCAAAACTTGGTGTGGTGTGGAAAATAGGTAGGATAAATAATTGTTGGATACATTTTAACTGCAAAGATTTCTTCATCAATTAATTGGGCTATTCTCTCGCCAGGTATGTCAAGTATCAAACCAAGCATCCGTTATCATGTTATCATTTCATGATTTCAGACAACAATTACCACAATTACCGAATACAAAACAAGAAATGTCAAAAGTGTTTTCAAATCAGCTGTTTTTCTTTGTGGCGTTGTGAAAACAATTATTTTAATTTTGCGTAATGAACATTGTTCCGAGAAGTTTGAAGACAATAACTACGTTTTCCAGACCAAATGTAGCCTCCAGGCTGAGATTTCTGTCGACCAGCCTTAGCCAAGGGGTAGGAAGTTATCAAACTGAGCGATATACAAAGGTGGGCGGCCCATTAAACTGGTCTAACATCAGTTTCCGACAATATTCAGATGTATCTCCGAAACATGCCGGCGACAAGGAGGAACGCCTGAAACAGGATGATGATGACAATAATTTCGGCAAAGGCAACCGTACATTGCCACGATTAATGAATTTTCCGGAAATTATGTGGCCATCATTGTTGAATTCCATTAAGAATTGGGTAATGGTCCATTTCATTATTCGGCCATACATGGATCGGGAATTTAATATTAGAGATTTTGCCTACGGGGCGAAGAAGGCAATGCAGGTATGTCAGTGTCACAAGTTATTGCTCCACAGTAACTACTGCAGAATACATTTTTTGGTCTTTATGTAGATAGATATCTGTCATTCATGCAAATGCCATAAATCTAGATCATGAAATCGGCTGCAAAACAATCGCTCATCTCTAGAGACTTAATTGTGTAGACATTTATTTTTTGTTATTGAACACTAACTCTCAATCTTTTCCAGGTAATCTCAGCCAAGTTAATGAATGGTGATTTTGCCCATCTGGGGAATTTGGTGTCCGAGGAGGCCCTCAACGAACTGAAGCCTGTCATACAAAAACTCTCCGTTTCACAGCGGCGACAGTTGGAAGTAAAAGAAAGCGATATCTACCTCACATTTCCCTATCAAATCGGCATAATGTTTGATGAGGAAAATAAAGATGTACAAAAACGTTGGGTGGAAATTACCATGGTTTTTCATGTGCTGCGTGGCCTCAAAGAAATGCGTGAATCGGGCGAAGAGATACCCTGGAATATGGGCACCATGCCCGAATATCAGGACAAAGTTTTTGTGTGTAATTATCGTTTCATAAAGGAATATACCAAGGGTCAAGAATCCGATTGGACTGTGAATGTGGTTAATCATTTCAAGCCAATAGATTTGGTCAATGAACTGAAGAGACACTGATGTCGTCCCCCATTAAGAGGGAGGTAATGTCGCTTATGTTGAAGTTTAAAATGTTTCGTTGTATTTCATACGGTTTTACCTTTTTCACATGGATGTAGGTACTTCCTGCATGGGAAAAGGAATGTTAATAATTTTTCTTCCGAATAAAAAACAAAAATTTTTACAAAGTATTTAAATTTAAATATTAAAAAAAAAAACAATAGAAGACCTTAAAATAGCATTTTGCCGAAGAATACCTCACAATGTTTTATGCAGAATACCTAAAAGGGGTCTTCTTTTGTAGAAAATCTTTGACTATAGAAAAGCCCTATAACTAATTTTGCCTACATAAAACTTTTTCAATTCACATTGAACATCAAAGGATCTCCTATATTTTAACCATAAAAGATTTCAAACGGGTCTGCTATGCATAGAAGACCTGAAAAGGATCTGCTATCTAGAGACAAACTCTAAAACTCCGTTGTCAGTATGAAAGCTCAAAATAGCTTATTTCTATAGACGCCATTAAAATCTTCTACCCAATAAAGGACCCTTTCTATATAATAAGGACATCTCAATAGACACCTTATGTATAAAAGACCTAATAGAGGTTTCTATTATCCATAGAAGACGATAACGTACTTTATCTTTAGAAACCTCCACGTAGTCTTCGATTTATTGAAGAGCCAAAAAGACTGTTTATGTGGAGGAGTTCTTCTATTCATAAACAATTTTAATCGTTTATCTATGCAATGCACCATCTAAAGGGGCCTGTTCCCCACAGAATACCTTAACCGAGGTCCGTTAAAATTGAAGTCTCTATTACCTACGGAATACCTCAAAAGTATTTCCTATCAAGCTCTAAAATATATTTGGCTTCTAGAGGACCTATTTCTATACTTCCTTAAATTTTTATTGTAGACATACCACAAATCTCGAAAGCGTGTGCTAACCATAGACGTTCTCTAAAGGTGAACAGAAGACCTTCAAGGGGTTTACACACCCACAGAAATTTTGAAGTGATTTCTCCTAGCTATGGAAGACCCCTCATTGATCTCCAAAGGGTGTTCTAATCATAGATGGATCTCAGAATGTCTTAAGAAGACCTTCAAGGGGTCTACTACCTACAGAAAACTAGAAATGTTTTCTATAAAAGCCCTTAAATTTATTTAGTCTTTAGAGAACCTCAAGGGGGTCCACTATTCATGGAATATACTAGAAGACCTAAAAAGTGTCTGCCATCCATCAAAAATCGGAAGGGATCGGCTGCTTCCCATTAATCTCGAAAGTATCTACTAATCCTTGGTGACCTCAAAATGTCTGTAGATCTTCAAAGTTTCTACAACCTGCAGAAAACTCAAAGCCCTAAAATTTATTTTGCCTTTAGATATCGTAAGGGTATACTATTCATAGATGATCCTGACGGATCTACAGCTTACATCTCAAAATTGATTCACAAACAATTTCGAGTCATAAAATGACTACCATATCCCATTGGCATTCGGCAAACAAGTCTGTCGGCAATAAATAACGATTTCTTTAAAATAAATTTGTAATCCGAAGTTTTTGTTTTCTGTTTTTTTTTATAAACAATAACCTTTTTGTTTTTATTATAAAAACACAAGATGATGTCCAATTTTTTTTTTTCTTTCCTCATTGTTGTTTTTTAATAATGCTCAACATCGGTTAAAAAAAAGCGTACACAACTATTGCCTAATTTACTTCTTGCCAGCAGCAGCGGCAGCAGCTTCATCTTCCTTGGCGTGCATGTTGATGAGCTCTTGTTTCTTGTTGGCAATACGCTCTTCACGGCGCTTACGGGCCTCGCGGACCTTTTGTCTTCTGGCTTCAGCTTGATCGGCCAACATTTTGCTGCGTTGTTTCTCAGCCTTCTTCTTGTGAATGTATTCCATGAGGACACGCTTGTTCTTGAATACATTACCCTTGCACTTCATGTACAAATCATGGTACAAGTGACGATCGATTTTCTTGCTGTCGCGGTACTTCTTCAACAAACGTCTGAGGACACGTTGGCGTTGCATCCACAAGAATTTGGTTGGCATACGGGCGTTGGCAGTACCCTTGCGCTTACCGAAACCGCAATGACGGCCCTTGCGACGAGCTTCGGTGTTCTTGCGGACACGGTAACGGGAGTGCACAACAACGGGCTTCTTGATGATCAAACCATCCTTGATCAATTTACGGATGTTTTGGCCTGAAAGTGGGAAGAGGAAACAAGTAATCAATGAATGTGTTCATTATGGGAACCTGTGCGCTCTGGCTTCAAATTTGTCAAAGGAACACCGAGCGATGACTGAGTTTAGTTTCAGAATTTCTTTGTTTTCTTCAAATTTTTGATTTTAAAAAACATTTATATTTTTATATAAATGATAAGGTTTCTTTAAAATACTGCACCACATTAAATGCCCAGTTAAGGGCAACAATTGCCGCCTTGTTTTGTTATTGTTTTCACATTCGTCATCATCGCACAATTGGCCGCATCTACTATACAACACAGCACCACGTTTCTTTCTTTTACAGATCACTTCATCACTCTATGTTCCTTTGCAAAACGAAGCCAAAAACTGCACCACTTTGCCTGCGAGGCAAGAGTTGTGTAGGTTCACACTTTCTTCACACCGCTTTACTTACGGGAGTTGGTGTTGGCAATTTCGTTGATTTCATTGGGATCCAACCAAACCTTCTTTTTGCCGCATCTCATTACTGAGGCTGCCAGCCTCTTTTGAAGTTTAAGCGAACTGCAAAAAAATTACAAGAAAATTGTCACTTTTCCGATAGAAATTCATTGTTTACATTTTACTAGCATGATGGGGCATGCATTGGGTGCCATTTTCAATTTGTTTTCACTTTATTTCATGTTTTATTCACGAAAAATCGTACCTCATGGTGTCGACCTGTAATCGTCGCTTTTCAGAAAGACAGGAAAAATTGTTGAACGGAAACAGCAGCCATTTTCGAAAATCCCCATCAAGCACATGTTCGAATTCGATGTGTCAAGCATATGCTTAAGTTGTCGTTAGGGTTGTATTTGCAACAAAACGAGCAGAGTTGTATTTTAAGGGGAGTAGAAATGGGCTTTTTGAGAAGGTGGATTAAATAGATGAAACAAATGTTTAATTTATTATTATTAATTTATTTGTAGGAAATTATGGAGATAAGAGGCGGTTTTCTTGTAAACATTGTGAAGAAAGGAATCGCATTAAACTCAACGTAGGCATACAATTGTCAAGCTGAGTCATTTTTATTCGGTGGAAACTACCATAAGTTTTCATATTCTGCGTGGCCTCAAAGAAAAACGTGAATCAGGCGAACAGATACCCTGGAATATGGACACCATGCCCGAAAATCAGGTAAAAGTTTTTCTGTATAATTATCGTTTCATAAAGGAATATACCAAGGGCCAAGAATCTGATGGGACCTTGAATGTGGTTAATAATTTCAGGCCCAACATTGTCAAAAAGTTTTATTTTTCTCTCAAATAAGAAGAAGCGTAAACAATGTCACCTAATAAATTCTGCTTCTTCTTTTTCCTAATTCTTTTAATTGTTGTGAAATGTCATGGTAGAAGAACACAGGTAGATGCATCAACGCTTGGAAACATTGATATGTCAAAATTTTTAATTTTTTTTTTTCAAAAATAAATAAATTTTTGTTTGTTTCCTTATATGACACCAAGAGGTTTATGGACAACGGAAATTTCCTTGGCGGGGAAAATAAAAAAAAATAGTTGGCTTAATATGTCAACTTTACTTGTTTACGTGTGTGTATTCTTTTCCGAAAGACGTATACCTTGTGTTTGCAAAAATGTTTGTATGTGAGAAATTTGAAGAGAGTTGAAGGCTTATTTCAGATTTTATAATCGTTTTGGCTATTCAAAACTTTGACCCTTTGTGGGGGAGATACCAGAAGAAATGGTACGATCTCTACCATATTTATTAAAGATCTTGTGTTGATGGAAATATCAAGATGTACCAAGTCCGAATGGAATCTGATATTCATTTCGCGTTTTATGAGCTTCATGGATATTGAAAATTTTAACCCCTTGAGGGGAGGTACCACAAGGAGTGAATCGATATACTCCATCTTCACACCAGACCTTGGGTTAATAAAAATATTGTGATGTGCGTAATTAGAAAATAATCGGACTTTTATATCGCATTTTATAAGAGTTATAATTATTCAAAATTTTGTCTCTTTGTGGGGAGGTATTTGATGGAGTGCTATGATATTGTGCATTTTCGCACCTAACCTAACATTGTTGCAAATATTAAGATTGGCAAAGTTGTAACAAAATCGGATTATTCTTTCTCTTTTCGTACAGTAAAATACTTTGTTTTTTGAAAATGTCGATCTTTTGTGGAGGATGTACCATAGGGAGTTGATCGATATTGCCCATCTCCGAACTCGATTTAAGTTTGATAATAATATTCAGATGTACCAATTTTGGATCAAATCGGATACTCCCTTTGAGAGTTATCGTGCGCACCAGGGACCCCAAATGTTTTGAAACGGATTTGGTCCAAAGAGATCTAGGGTCTTAAACTGTTATTCCAATGAGGCACGATTTGGCCATATATCCTCTCTAGCCATATGACTGAAGGTAAAGTCATTAGCAGGTAGGTGCATCAACGCTTGGGGACATTGATGTGTCAAAAATGTTTAAATATTTCTTCAAAAATAGGTCTATTTATATAAGTTTTCCTACAGGTCGCCAATCGGAAGTTCTTAAAATATGCATTTTTTAACAATTTTTACAAATTTGAGTAATTTTTCATTCAAAAATTTCAATTTCAAAATTGGTTTGACAGTTCACTGTCCCAGCAGCTGTGTCGAAGCGTCTACCCGTGGTAGAAGAATATAGGTAGACGCGTCGACACAGCTGCTGGAACAATGACCTGTCAAACCAATTTTGTAATTGAAAATGTTGAATGAAAAATTATTTATATCTATACAAATTCTTGACAAATGCATATCATAACAACCTCCAATTGGCGTCGTGTAAGAAAACTTATAAAAATCTATTTCTTTTTGAAAAAAAATTAAATTTTTTTTGACATATGAATGTTCCCAAGCGTTGATGCATCTACCTGTATTCTTCTGCCATGCGTCTACCTATATTCTTCTACCATGCATATCCATCTCTGCATTTTCTGTCAAAATTCCCGGCATA